ATCCTGGAGTTCTAGTGAGAAGTAGTGAACAGTGGAGTTCGACCAGGTCTGCTGTGAGATAGTACCTCACTGAAGACAATGGTGGATGTGTCGCTCAATTTGGTGGATTAGTTGAAGTTAGACATTAACATCATTGGATGCCGGCTCAGTGGTTTAGTGATTAAGTGCTTACGCACGAAACCAGTAGGTCCTGGTTTCGAATCTGGTAGGGGACGAGGTCGTGGGTGCACACTGCTGATGAGTCCCACAATAGGACGAAACGGCTGTCTAGTGCTTTCAAGCTTTCCATGGTGGTCTAGCTTCAACTGACACATGATTTTAACCATTGAAATTACTGTAATATCCACAAAACCCATCTGATATTAAACAACAATAGAATCTAATTATGCAACATGTGATTGTAACCAATTATAAAAATTGATTACATAATATAAAATCGCATCATATATTTCATTTCAATATCAAAAAATAGTTAAAATTAGGTCTATTCAACTAACATGTTGCTTCATTCAGTGTAAAATATAAAAATATGGATTTATTTAAACTAAAACTTGGACAATTTTTATTCTTGTCTCCTCTAAACAAAATGTTCTTCTTTTTTATGTAAAACAAACAAACAAAACATACAAAAGAGTAAATGAAAGAAGTCCAGAAAGGAAGTCAAGTATAAATATGGATATATTCTTACGTAAATAGTTACTATCCTATGACTTAAAAAAAGTGTTTAATAATATAATTTAACACCTTTGTTGTTCCTATTATTCAATTTTATGTATGTGATGTTAAGTTATTTAGACTAGTGGTAACATCTCAATTGATAGAAATCTATCACATTGAAGATTAAATATACATCACATTTATTACTAATCACTGTAAATATAAATCGGTCTCCATTCAGATAGTTGAGTGGTAACATCATACACTGTGAAACAGGGTAGTTTGACTTCGAATCCATCAAGGGTATTCACACTGCTTATGATTTCAAAAGCTGATTAGTGTCAATTAGCGAGAAACTTAGCTCCACCAGGGTGTCCGACAGGATACTTTTATCCACCTAACATCAAGATATGGTTCATCCAATGTCAGCTGATGGTCACTAGTAGTCATATTGCAAGGTCATTGATAAATTTCCATCACCATTAAATACTACTACTGTGGTGTGGGTTACTTATATCCACATAAGTAGTATATAATGGTGGTTAGGCACGTCGATTAGGAGAGAACGAGAATGAGACGCATTTGGTATGAAAATGCAAAAACAATGAAGTCTGAGTCATTTTGAAACAATTGATGAACATTTTGCAAATTATGCATTTACTTTATGATTGTTAGTTTTTATTAACAAGTCCTGTAATTTTGTGCCAAATACATCCGGTTATCCCCACTGGTGTTCTTGTTCACTACACTACTACTACTGAGGAATCAGTTTACATATATATGATTAGAGTATGATATTTCATTTGGTCTAAATGAAAGTGGATCAACCACAAATTCGAGTAAATATTTAACGACACGAACTAAGATCAACTTAGATGCTATTGAATCAACAATGAAGAATTCTTTGAGATTTTAATAAATAATGAAGATTATCCATCTTCGCCAGCTACTGAAATAAACTTCATTACTGTATTGATAAAGAAATTCCTTATAATATATCTTCCCACGTGTACAAAACTATTTCTTTCTTTACTACATAATCTTCAATAACTAATTTGTCAAGACCTTAACTACTTAGAATGTTTAATGATTATAACTGTTATGTAAAATTTGTCATTATTTTATGCCAATTTAGAAATTGCACTAAATGGTTTGATGTTTTACATATATCTGGATATTTTTTAAAAACTGTATATGAGACTTAAACATCAAAACGATCTAATTATTTTGTACAAGAAAAAAAACAATGTTGTCTTGTAGTGGCTGAGCTTCGTTAACCGTTATTATATAAACCTCAACGGTGTTTTAAATCAGAAAGCAAAGAGAAGCAGCAACTACAGTTTTATTAGCAGATAGCTCAGAACACAAAGTGGAGAGGCAAACGAGTGAGTCAGCGAGTCGAGTGAATAGGATTAAAGTGTACATTTATATATATACATAGTGAAATGAATAAATCATCGTAATTCCGATGAGTAATGCACAAAGACAACTCGACAATTTTACAGAATAAACGAGGTAAATATAATAAGACAATAATTGGAACTTGCAAAAAGTAGAAGCGGTAATAAGATCATGTGAGAATTATGTGCTAATCAGATTTGAACCTGTAAGTTGCTACAATTTTAACCGTACACAAATGTTTGAATAAAATCTACTTTGAACCAGTTCTTTTGAATTTGTAGATGACCCTGTACGACGAACTATACATATTCTACAAGTGATTTATTAATCAACTTATAAAACCTAATTCTGAATTGGATCAGTCATAAACTGATTAATTTAATACGCCTGTACAAGAAACTCAATGTCCGTTGATCGGATACCATCAGCAATAGCCTACTGTAGGAGTCAGTCAGTAACAACGTAGAACTTCGTACGTACGTACATCAGTTCGAGTTGCCGCACCACTTTAGCACAGAGATGCAGTTGTCCATTCAAATCCCATAGTGGTAGACGGGGTAAGAATATAAGCAGTAATCGGAAACATTAGGGTTCAAAGAGTATAATCCAGTGAAATAAATTTGGGAAGAGAAAAAAAGAGACAAGGAGGAATCAGGAGATTAAAATTTGGGAGAACACAAAGAGTGTATGGACCTGTGTCATTGCAAACGATTTTGAGCCATGTCATTCAGGGTCTCTAACCATCGGTTGCTATCATCTCGCGGTCCCCAAACAGGCAGTCTACACCTACCAACATGGCTCAGTCCACTGTGGGTGAGAACAAGCCCACTTCCAGCTGAGGGAAAAAATTAAGACATCACGAAAATCACTGAACTGCATCACGATACAAGCGCTTACTTGGAATCGAGAAGGGAAACGAAAATGAGTAAGACCAAATAACATACTGCGTCGGGAATGGGAAGCAGATATATAAAGGGTGAAAAGCAACTGCAAAGGATTGCCCACGACAGACTTGGATGGAGAATGCTGGTGTTCGGTCCATGTTCCTCCAAGAGGGATAACAGGCGTAAATAATCTAATATAGCTCATGGTCAACTACTAGCAAAAATAATAAGTAGCGGAACATGCCGGTATAGTACTTAGACAAATCATATAAGATGAATGAATAAATTGATCATTGAACGGAAATCAATTTTGTTTCACGAGTCCATGGTAATAATTGACTTATGTTGAGAAAGTCCTAATGCGACTATTAGTCTAAATAACTCAACAAAACTCTGCTAAATTTCAATTTTATTTAATAACACATAATCGGTAAGGATTTCTCGATGTAATTCACGCGTTAGTTGTTATTCAAAACATAAAAATCATCGCTGTAATCTTGAACACTGGTTTTTCCATCCTAATAGGATACCGACCAACATAGACCAATTTTACAGACATTACTACTGTTTTATACAAGCAACAGAAGACTTAGTGTAGGACTGAAATACTTACATCACTCAGTCGTTGAAGAGTACTCAATATCATGTTATCTTATAATAAATGCTATTTTTGTAAAAGGATATTTTGTTATTATTGTTCTATCAGTGTTATTTACGTTATACTTATATGGTATATTGATAGTAGTAAGGTACATTGTTGCATATAATTTTTTAAATCACAAAATTTGGAAATGTACACAACTTAGATGAGATTCTTCTAATTTTAAATCTAATTTTCCCATACAACTTTGATAGACGCGCAAAACTTCAGAGACAACAGAACAAATGGTATTGAGTAGAAATCAACCAACCAGTTTCCAAGCACATGGCAAATAATCTTTCTTTTGCGATGAATGTGGTTTCGTGAAATGAAAGGAGTAGCTGTGATATAATAGAATACTTTTATACTTCTTTCAAAACTCAATGATCTATGTAAAACTTGGATGCCATAAATGAGAGGATTAATACCTGAATTAATCGCTATGTCAACTTAATAATGGGCTATCAAATATTATATTGACTGTTAGCCGATATATTTGCCATAAAACTTAACAATCAACCATTTAACTAATAAACATTTCAATTCCGTTTTAATGTCCATTTCCTACGATATGCTAATAGTTAAGTGAACTACATAAGTCACCAATGTCATGTTATCTTATGTCTTAACAATACTACAGTACATATCTTAAGGCTGAATAAAGCAATATGTAAAGAGCACAAGTGGTGGTATCAGTCAAAGAAATTGTAGATTATTATTCTGATTTCCACGGGGAAAAGTTATGTATGGATAGTTGTAGTCCTAAAAAAAGACCCTAGATAAAATAATTTAAAACAAACAATTCTTTATACTAGTAAAGATGATTGGATTTTAGAGTTCATAACATGAACCTATCATTAAACGATTAAAAATGAGGAAACGCTGAACAGCTGGTATTTCGTTGAATATGAGATAATTACTCTCTAATGGCATTAAGAAATAATTGCACTATTCACTGTGTGACCTGAAGATCTTCGTCTCAATCCTGTGTCGGGGACGAAATAGCAATCTAGTTCTTCCTAATTTTCAATGGTTATTTAAAATTAATCAGTGATTTCAACTATAAAAATCCTTTCCATTTTAAACATGAGATATTACTGCGCATTTGACGACTAGACATAAATATATCATTGCTAATCATATTTGTTTTGTACATAAATGTTTTCTTTTATAAAAAAAGATATACAATTTTGATTGCGTAATTAATCTTTGTTTTCAGATGATCGTCCAAACGACATACCTATCCATTCATTTATAATTTACTAGTCAGGAGATGTAAACAACTATATTGAGAGCAATAATGCATTAGATGATGGTTAGGTAAAATATAACTGTCATATTACGTAATCAAGAAATACATTATTAATAATAATTACTATTAATATTATGGTTATGTTAAAAACATTCTAATCCTATGAAAAACAATAATATTACGGTTATAAAAAACAAATTAAACAAGTAAAGATTGTTAGTTGAAAATGATTTTTAATAAAATACAATCATCAAATTAATATATTACATAACCAATTATGTAAATATATGGATAGGAATCCAGCTCCAGCTACGCCAATTGAATCAGATACAGTTGCCATTGCCATTGCAGATTCACGATAGATCGGAGAAGTCTATAAAGTTAAAAAATATATGCATACAGATATGTATAAAAATGTGAGAGTTGGTAAAACCTCTCTATTTCTCTTTATATATATATATATATATATATATATATATATATATATATATATCAGTTTAATAGAAACATTTTGCAATGTTTACATGTTGAACTAGGAGGAATGTCTACTACTAAGGTCTACACAAACACAAAATTAGTTATCACTAATCAGTGATCAATTAATTATAAATATATTAGTACTATAAGTCAGCCGTGGATGAAATAACTTAGTTGTTGTATTTCAGAATGAACCTTGGTGACCAAGGTTTTTGGTCATCAGGGAACATTAGCTTCCTGAAGACTCCAGAAACGTTTAGCCAACAAGTATCAATTAGCATAAAACATAAGTCAATCAGTTATTTCCTGCCAACTACCTCCAACAGTCAAACATTGAGAGAATAGACAGATTAGTAGAAATTCCACTTCAAATTCAGTTGTATGCATTAAAATGGTAGTGTACTTCATTTATGTCATTCTAATACTAAATAAGTAATAATGGAACAGTGATATAGTGGTTAAAACATTTGGTTCCCAACTACTAAACCTTAGATTCTAACTCCGCTACACTAAATTCGATTTAGGCAGCTGTCATGGTACTGTGGTGTATGCTACTGATGTTGACAGATATAAGCAGTATGTAACACCAATCAGAAGTGAAATGTCCGGCAGCAGAAGATTGAATTAGAAAGAAAAAGAATGCAAACATAGAGCAACTGTAATAACAACAGAATTGAAAGAATGATGAAGCATGTAAAGGACAACTGAAGCAAGATGTGCAGATTATGTATTTGATGCATGGTTATCATGTTTTTCAAAGGCACTTTGTAATTTCGCATATAATAAATTGGATTTCCCCACCTTCGTTCTCACATAAATTGTTTAGCTGAACGTTAAATACAGCAAGCTGTACTTGGTGTACATATTAGTTGTATAAGGCGTTAATACTTGATGAATATAAACACAATAAAATCATTGGTTAACTGATTGAATCAGTCTTAAAAAATAAGAGAAAAACCAATAATATATAAGGGTATTCATTTTTTTGGCCGCTAAGTATCAAATTTGAAACTTGTTTGGCTTACTCCGATCTGGACGACAGGAAAGATTCACTAGTTCTATGTTTCGGCCAAATTGACAAGAACACTTCAACGATGACATCTCAGACTATGAAGCTGAATGAACCATGTTTAAATCTCACAATGACCACTAATTCCCTAGAGATTACAGGCATAGGTTGCTGAACAGTACCAACTAGTAAGAAACTTTGGTTTTGATATTTGCTTTAGACGATCTTTAACCACCTAATAACATCGTCAAAGTCTATTTATTACATTAAGTAGAAGATTTCTTTATATAAGAATACAATACCAAAGAAAGTATTTTTGTCATTATTGCTTATTATCTTACTTCTTGAAGAATATTATAAAATGTGTTAACATAAGTTAAACCACCCAGGCATCCTTCACAAAATATCACAATGAACATTATCCATATATATGGTATATAAGAATAGATCACTTGTAATAAACAAATTACAAAATTCATAGCCTGTTTGGATAATTGAACAAAAAGAAATAATGATAATAGTTAATTAGGAGTATATATTTTTTTAATTAAACACATCGATATTGGTACAAGGAGGCACCAAATACATATGCGCCACACAGATCTCATCTGATATGTGTGAGGGCTGTGATACTGCCCGGGTGCCCAAACCGAAGCTAGTGGTGTTCTTAGGGGACCACACCTGGAGCCTTCGACCTACAGGTCTGATCCACGAGGCAGTAGAGCATCGTAAGGAAATACAGTCCCATGGAAGCCCGTGACCAATAATTGGTTCATACGCCATTTGTTCCCTCAGGATACTGGAGCGCATGTGCATCATTGGTTTGGAATCAGGGTTTTCCAACTCCCCTAGTTGAACTCTCCATGTCCACCAACCCGGTTAAAGCGCCGGACATTCGATTTTCGTCCTCTCAATTTCGTAAACAACAGGAATGCCACGAGAATTTAGTGAGTAGGACTTCCCTAACAGAGGCTATATACGCATCTGCCAGGGAAGTCCTATAAGTAATCAAACGTTATTAACATTAGTCACAATCAACATGTAGATATTTGAACATTTCTTGAAGCATGAATAATAAAATTAGTTAGTGTATTAATTGAGATTAACCTCAGTATTTTCAATATACATTAAGTATATTCTTTTATTCAGTAATATTCCATACATTTTTATAAATGAGTAACGTATATTGAAATGAAGTTTTCAGTTGGAGTAGTTATGTATAACTGTATACTATGAATATGTTAATGTAATTAATAGTTGAACATGTCGAATGAAAAGACATAAATGTGGTTAAACATAAGACTTGATGTGAAAATTACACTCACATATACAAGTCATCAAGTAAATGCAGAGAAAAAAAGTAGTCTTAAATATTGGATACAGTTCAGCGAGTTTGATTAAATAAATTAGTCAGAAATAAAATATGTACTTTTGAAATTCTTTATAAATTTATAAAGAAGCACTCATATTATGACTACTTGTTGACTTCGTTCACGTAATTACTAAACTTTTCCAGTATCATCATTTTGGGGATTTGTGGGGATTGTAGTATTTTCACAGTTGAATTCATGAGTCGATCTAAGCCAGACCACTACTGAAAACTTGAAAGCACTGGACGGCCGTTTCGTCCAGTGCACATTTACGATCCCACATGAGAGGTACGAACACAAGACACTCGGTCTAGCGCGTGAAAGCTTAACCTCAACTAATAATATTATGAATAAATTGAAATTAGTCATTAACATTGTTGGATGCCGGCTTAGTAGTCTGGAGATTAGACGTTTGCACCCGAGAACGGTCCTGGGTTCTATTTCCACATGCGGGGTTATGGATGTGCACTGATGAGTCTCATACTAGGACGAGCCGGCCGTCCAGTGTTTCCAGGTTTTCAATGGTGGTTTAGCTTAGATCGACTCGTGAATTCAACCTTTACAATACTACAATCTCCACGAATCCCCATACTTATCTAATTTTGTATGGTGTCTAATAAAATATGAATATTAGGAAAAAAATGAGGCGATCGTATCAGAATCTTGGTTATAATTAGACAGCTGTCATAACGAATTATAGCAATCCTGACGATTGATTTGACCTGAGAAAATTAAGAAAAACATATGGAATCATTATTCATTACATATTAGATATTACTTGTATTCCAGTAAACAAACCTATCAAAAACATTACTGGTGAACTGTTTGGGTGGGATAGGTTCATAGTTATCCTCAGGTGTCAACGAAAATAACGAAGTACAGTTTCTAATAAAGTTGGATTGTAGATAATGGTTGAATCTAGAACGAGTATTTAATTCTGCTTTGAACTGGTCAACCTGATGTACTTACATCCTGGTGTTGATGTTTGTACAAATCCTTACAAGCAAAGTTTATGCCAATTGAACAACTAAGTAGCTATCTGGATCCAGTCACACAGTAGATAAAGTATTGAAATTTGAAGTGAAAATTACTGTTTGAGAATCATTGTGAACTTATGACTAAATGGTAATATCAAGGTAATCTACTGTATACATCACTAACATACAGGATATTAAAAAGTGAATTTATCTATTGTAAAGGATATTGACTAAAATAATGAATCGAAAGGTTCTAGATTAAGTGCCTGACAGGATAGTGATTGAACAACTCAGAGAAGTTCAATATAAGAACAAGGTAGTTGCCCAGTGGTTCCTAGTTTGAGGTAGTTTGCTAAATGATATCATTTTGTGGCGTAAGATTTATTTATTTATTTTAACACATAAATATTGGTACAAGGAGGCACCAAATACATATGCGCCACACAGATCTCATTCGATATGTGTGAGGGCTGTGATACTGCCTGAGTGCCCAAACCGAAGCTAGTGGTTTTCTTAGGGTCCACTCCCCAAGCCTTCGACCTAAAGGTTTGATCCACAAGGTAGTGGAGCATTGTAAGGAGATGCAGTCGCATGGAAGCCCGTGACCAATAATTGGTTCATACGCCATTTGTTCCCGCAGGATACTGGAGCCCATGTGCACCATTGGTTTGGAATCCGGTTAAAGCGCTAGACATTCGCTTCTCGTCCTCTCATTTTCGTAAAAAACACCCCCGCCACGAGAAGGCGTAAGATGTATATAGATAAAACATTTCCACAAAAATTTCGGGCACTAATAAAAAGGAAAGACTTGAAATAAACTAAGATTATTATCCTTTAGTAAGAATCCAGTCAATTTACTTCACTTAAAGCTCCACCATTGCTGCTACCTTGATGTGGTGGTCTGGCTTGACTATTGTGATGAACGAACCGGGCTATAATGGTTGTAACAATCGTCCTTGTAGGTCCTACCATGTCCGAGGGCGAAGTTGTACCGCTGACTGTGCAGAGGTGTGACAGCAGTAAGGTGTTTAACTCAGACAACCAGCATGATAGTGATGCTGCCTTCCCATAAAGGAAGATTGGGATTAGAGAAGGTTGACCCTAATAATGCCCACTCCGCCTTATCCCACGGATTTCTGTCTCCGGTGGTAAGGTTTCAACAAGTATGGAGATAACACAAAAATTACCCACAAAAAACTCGTGTATAACCAGCCCCAAGTAGTTACACCTTAGGCACTGAGGCCATGCCCTCAGGTCACAAAGACCACCCCTAACCCGACTTTCTTTTCAGGTACCTCTAGGAGAACCCTTCTACAGTGTGGGCAACCGGGAAATGATAACCACCCTCACACCTCTAACAGCACTTCAGAACACTTAATTCATGATCAATCTCCTTCAACTCCTATAATTCCACCTACCTCGACTATCAACCCTAAACTTCCTTCTCAAGTATCATCATAACCAACGATTCTAGTGCGCGAAATACTGTTCCAGGTCTTCTGAAACCTCGCTTCAAACTACACATTGGAGCCTTCAACGTACGCATCCTATGTCAAAACAATCTGCAGATCTCTTTGGCTAATATCCTAGAATTTCGTACAATTGATGTATGCTGTGTCTCCGAAACATACATACAGGATCTTAGTGTTTATTCATTTGACCTCATCTAGCGAAAACTGAGAGCCGATGAGATACACTCCCATGTATTTGGCGACGCGGTGGCTAGTATTAGTGGACTGGCAGGCGTAGGCATAGCACTGAGTACGAGGGCAGAACAAGCACTATTAGAATGGATCCCCGTTAAGTCTCCTGTGTGCTGTTTGGCTAAACGGATCCACAAGAATTCGTCAGGATAGGGACACACGTTGTTTCTGCCTATGCTCCCACTGACTGCAGCCCAGATGAAGAGAAAGATGAATTTTACAGAAAGCTTTCAGAACTTCAAAGAAAAACTAAACACCCAGATATAGTATTAGTAGCAGGTGACTTTAATCCCCCAGTAAGTAGCTTAAAACAAACACAAAGATATTTGGGTGGGTATTTTAGTGTTCCGGTTCAGTGAATAAATAATGATGACCGTCTGCTGCAACGATGTCTGAGCAATCGTTTATTTTTGACAAGTACTAATTTTAGGCATGAGGAGTGACATCGTCTAACAGGACAACCCCTTGCACCAAACCAGCGATGGACTAAAATAGACCATACTGATATCAATCATAGTTGGAGAGGCTCGATATTAGACTGCCGATCGTTCTGGAATACATGCTTGAACTCTGGTCAAGCTTTAATACAAGCACGTATCTCCTTGTGCCTCACTGGATGCAGAAAAGCCATATTAATACCAAAGAGTTGATCTCAGCGATGAGAAAGCCAAAGGCAAACTCTAGGAACACCAGAAGTCACACTTAGGCGATTTCGAAAACGAGGTTGACCCAGATATCGCTCGGAAAGATATAAGAACAGCTGTAGAAACAGTGACATTCATTAGTGATTTTAACTCAAAGGTTACGAAAAATCAATAGATTTCTGAGACATCTGTTGCACTGATGGATTCTCATAAACTTATCCTATCACGATGAAAGTTAAAATAAATCAAATGTAGAATAACCAAAAGTCTACGGAACGATCGTGTGCAGTCTGACGATGATGGTTTCTCTTAACTTAAAAGCAGCATTTAACTCTGTAGACCGAGAGGTTCTATGGCAGTGTCTGTCAGTGAAAGGTGTACCTCAGAAATACATAAATCTTATGAAAGGCTCTTTACTAGAACATTACCAGCCGAGTCAGAGCTCATGGCAAACTGTCATCTGATTTTGCAACCTCAAGTGGTGTCCGGCAAGGTTGTCAATTATCTCTATTTTTGCCCAATTTTATCGTCGACTGAATTTTCGGGGATTGATCTCGTACCAGAAGGTCCACATATTGACTTAGAATACGCAGATGACATAGTCCTGTTTGGAGAAGACGCTGACAAAATGCAGTCTTTTGGTAGCACTGAGCAACAATGCCAGGAGGTTTGGGATGTGTTTTTCCCTCTCGGAATGCAAATTGTTACTTCGAAACCGGCCTGAACTAAGGATAGGGAGTAGAGTAGTAAAATGAATCGACAACCTGTGTCTGTTGGGATCACCGGGTAAATAAGAATAAGGTTAGACGCATGTTATCAGAGAACGGTGGTAAATCAATTGAGGTTGCGAATCTCTATCGACTGGGATGGTTGGGTTAAGTATTACATATGCCCAACCATCCACTACAACGGCACGCAATGCTGACTAGTGTTGGAGATGGATGTAAGAAAGTTAGGGAGGGCAAGACCAAAATGTGGCATCAGCCCATAAAGTCACTAAATTCTGGTCTGATCCATGTTGGTAGGTGCAGACTACTTAGTTGGGGTCCGCGCGTCTATCGTAACCAGTGGTTGGGAACTCTGTGTGATAAGGCTCAGAATCGATCACAATGGTGTAGGTGTGTACACTCTTTGTCTTCCCTTAGACCATGGGGATAAAATTGCTTTATACCTTACTCCCTATGAACGAATTCTTTCTTCCTGTATCATATCCTTATATGCAATTATATATATATATATATATATATACTATTGAAATAACTGACTCCATGAATATGGTGTCCATCTTGTTGTGTTAATTAGGCATGGCAACTAGGAACGATGCATATATGTACCTGGTCTTACTTTAGAGATAAATGTCTAACTTTATTTAAAAACAGATCAGTAGTACAAAAAAATTAATGAACTTACTTGTAGCAATGACATAATCCAAGTAGTCTTAAATTGAATAAAACTGACTGACGACCTTGATAAGAATACACCAATTTGATAAAGTACTTGATACCTATATTATTTAAATGAACAACAATCGTAACAACGAAATATCATAAAGAAATTTGAAACGTAACAATAAAAACAATACTTGAAGTAAACTATTTTATAGTGGATAGAATGTGAATGCATGTTTCGTCCTATATGGAATTCACTGATACCAGCTAGATTGTAGTGGTTTATCCTCGAGATATTTCTTATACTTCGCATATCATTTACTCTGATAATCGTTAATACACTAATTCCCAGGGACAAATAATTTTCGGAAGACAACTAAGAAGTGGTGACTATGGTTTATTGTAGTACAACACAGGTTAAACAACTGACAAGCATACAGTGCAAGAGGATATAAGAATACGGATAAGAATAACTGAACTGATAGTGTTTAAGAAGTATATATATACAAGCATTCTAATAGGTCATCAAGCGATTTACGTGACTAATATTTAGGCGAGTAAGAGAAGTATGTGTAGGCTATATCATGTAATCAATCATACAATCAAGGGATTAATATGAGCTGAGGATAAACTCCACATTTTAAAGTCATCTAAGTATATCGTAGTCAGTGTTGGGGACGTTAGATCACCAGAACCCATTTGGAAAAGGACCTAATTTTGTAATTATATTCTGATGAGTTGAATTTCTATGTTTTCGCGCCAAAAGCGCTCTTTTTACCTTCATGTTGTATTCCCCACTTGGGAGAATCTTAAACGCTATTGGTTCGTTGTATCTTTTAGTATGCTATTTTTTAACCCTTCACACGGACGGTTTTGTACTGTATGTATACGTTTTGAATTGTGTCTGTTGTTATCGCTCGTGCTTCTAGCTTTTTGCGGAATATACTTCCCTGTTTGGACTTCGACTTCTTTCTCTAGTTAGTGGGGCTGGGACGCAATAGAATAGCTAGTTTACTGGTTTTTGGTCACCAGTCTTTGTTCCGTTCGCAGTCTAAGTGAACTCGTAACCGCTTCAAACCTAGCAGTCAGCAACTGTGATTATGTTTTCGTTTAATTAGTCACTCAGTGAGATATTTTGGAATACTTTCTACTAAAGAAAGAACTATGTTGTAATTTTTCTCCCATCGTGACTGACTGCCCTACATTTGACATATCCGTCGCATAATGATGTGGTATTTGAGCAACCCTAAATTGATCCTGGAATCTTCACCTACTTACTTATTAGGGTTAAATAAGGGTTATATATTAGTTAGGATTAGGATCTGCAGTTGGACGTTGGGGTTAAAAATTAGATTAAATATTCCCATCACGAACTGACATCAACTATAATACCAAAATGGTATTTAACCAAATGAGTGAATGAATTTCGCGCCAAAATCCAAGATCTGTTATATCTAATTGGTTCGTCCATAAATTATAATCTTGCCAAAGTTAATTCGACTCAAAAGAGTGAAAGTTCAAATAAAAACACAAAGTGACAACTGTATATAAAGGAGAAACTTAATATAGTACAAAAAGAATAATACATATACGTTTGAAGAAGACATGAAACTAATGATATTGAACGATTGCTCATTAATGTTTATAAATCAGTGTAAAAATCAACTGACACTAATATTTTTTTAAATTCTACTGCGAAGAAAAGAATTTTATATCTCTCTATCATTTAGAAGTGAATTAAACAGTATAGTTTTGAGACAGAGAATAAAAGTAGCCATCAAGAAAATAGATTATGCTGTTAAACTGGTTGTGATTGAAAAGACTATGTTTACGATTCCAAATAGACCTAAAAATGATCGAAAGATCACGTTGTATCGTACGGTATTAACCAATTTACATGTTTGTTTGGACACATATACAAAGGGAGGAGTAATCGAGCAATAAAATCAAATGTTATGGAACATATGTCTAGATGGCCTTAGAACCAATTAGTGACGAATGCTCCAATAAACGTGGATGTAGAAAACTATGTTGATTGATAGCAAAGCACATAATCGAAACGGGACATAGAATCTACATCAATGGGACTCCTCAGCAGCGCGTACTCACGGTCTGCATGCGGGACTCCAATACAGTATCCTCGCTCTCGCGCATGGACGCTTATACTCTAGACTGATGAACCAGCATCCAACGGTGTTAATATCTAACATCAATCGATCTATGATATCACGCGAACTTTCATCCATTGTCTGAGGTAAATACCTGTTTCTACCCGATACGGATTGAACTCCACTGGTCACAGCTTCTCATCAGAACTCTAGGAAATCCATCTTGAAGCCATTCACTAGTCAGCAATAGTGAGAAGGTTTTCAATGGTGGTCTAGCTTAAAGCGGCTCATAAAATCAACTATCAAAATGTATAGCTCAAATGAATTACCTTTTTCGGATCGAATTGGTCTTCTCATTGTTCTATTGAAGTATCTAGTCATTTAAATACTAGTGACTAACTTCAAGATGAATGCTCATAAATCTAGTGAAGAGCATTATATGGTGAAGTTTAAACATCTTAAGAATTAAACAATCCTTTTGATGTTTTCCAATGATCTCCAAGATATATTGAAAAACTAACTGAAGTCAAAAATATGAACCAATGAATTTGAATTGCATGCTAAATAGTACTTTGACTAACATTAGTCTGTAACAAATACCTATCAACTAATTCAAATATTCTTTAAAAACACTTAAACTATAAAAGTATCATCCTTATTGCTTAATTGACTTCTTGCTTGTAATATAATTAATATCAAGTAACGAATAACAACACTGTACAGTTTAAAAAAAACGACCCAGCTAACTAACTGACAACATATGTTCTTTTATCGGATTGGGGGATTGTGGAGATTGTAATATTTTCACAGTTGAATTCACGAGTCGATCTAAGCTAGACCACCACTGAAAACTAGAAAATACTGGACGGTCGTTTCATCCTGGTATCGGACTCCTTTTAGAAATGAAGGAATATATTCGATCAAAGCAAATCAGTAGTAGTAAAAGGTCAATAATTTACAACAGGCCAATTCTCAATGCTTCAATAGTTGAAAGAAAAAGGAAAAGACGGTTGTGTTTCAACTATGAAATCTCATATAATCTCGCTTAGTCTACATTGATTTTGACAATCAGGTAGTAAGTAACATACAATTAAAAAATATGATTCAATGCTGATTATGGCGAGACTATAATTTATGAACAAGCCAACAAGATCTAAGATAATAGGTCTTGGATGTTGGCACAAAATGTACTTACGCCTGTTACTCCCAATGTAGCATAGGCCGTCTACCACCATTCTCCAACACACTCTGTCTTGTACCTTCATCATTAGTTCCATCCAATTCTTGTTCATTTTTCTCATGTCCATCTCCATTTCCCGGCGTAATGTGTTCTTTGGTCTTCCTCTCCTCCTTTGGCCTTTAGGATTCCATGTGAAGGCTTGTCTTGTGTGGCAGTTCGGTGTTTTCCTTAATGAGTGTCCTATCCACTTCCAGAGCTTCTTCCTCCGCAGGGATCTGGTTTGTTCTCTCTCATAGTAGGTTGTTGCTGATGGTGTTTATCCAACGGATCCGAAGTATTTTGCGTAGGCAGCTCTTAAAAAACATTCGTATCTTCTGGATGATGGCTTTCGTAATTCTCCAGGTTTCCAACCCATACAGTAGAACTGTCTTGATATTTGTATTGAAAGTTCTGACCTTGGTGTTGGTTGACAGTTGTTTTGAGTTCCAGATATCCTTCAGTTGTAGATACGATGCTCTTGCTTTGCCGATCCGCGCCTTCACATCTGCATCAGATTCACCGTGTCCATCAATGATGCTGTCCAAATATGTAAAAGTTTTTACATCTTTCAAATCTTCTCCGTCAAATGTGACTGGATTGGTGCATGCTGTGTTGTATCTGAGAATCTTGCTTTTCCCTTTGTGTATATTGAGACCTACTGCTGCCGCTACACTGGTCATCTCCTGCATTTGTTTCTGCGTTTGGGATCATCTGCAAAGTTTAGGTCGTCCAGCTGCATCCTAGATGTCCACTGTATCCCGTACTTCCCTTCAGATGTCGATGTCTTCATGATCCAGTCGGTCACCAGGAGAAAGAGAAAGGGTGAGAGTAAGCAGCCTTGCTTGACACCGGTCTTCACTTCGAACGACTTTGTCAATTGTCCTTCATGCACGATTTTGTAGAGTAATCCATCATATGAGTGCTGTATGATATTGACTATCTTCTGAGGCACGCTGTAGTGTCGAAGAAGCTTCCATAGTGTTGTTCTGTCCACACTATCAAATGCCTTTTCGTAGTCGATGAAGTTGATGTAGAGTGATAGATTCCATTCAATTGATTGTTCTAAAATGATCCGTACAGTTGTGATTTGGTCTGTACACGACCTATCCTTACGGAATCCTGCCTGTTGGTCTTGAAGTTGGGCGTCTACGCAGTCCTTCGTCCTGTTTAACAATACCTTGTTGAAGATTTTTCCCGGTATTGAGAGAAGAGTGATGCCCCTGTAGTTATCACACTTGCTGAGATCGCCTTTCTTCGGTATTTTGATCAGAATTCCTTCTTTGCCACTCTTGATTTGTCTGATGGCCATGCTGATTTCTTTAATTGTTGGTGGGCCAACATCGATTGAGTAGTCCGTGGGTGCTGCCTCGATATTGGGTTGGTTCAGTGGAGCTGGTCGATTCAAGAGTTTTTTATTTGGTTAAATAGCGTTTTGATCTTTTAGCTTATGTCGGTTTGTGATAAAAACCCTAAATTTAATTCCTAATTTCTTACACTGGGTTATAACACACATTTAGTCTTAGTTAATAGGTGAACATGTTTACGGTCATTTTAGGTCGTTCATAAATTATCATCTCAACCTGATTACGTAAACTTAGTGAATGAGTTTAAATTAATTAATTAATTTTTCATTGAGTAATTAATTAGTCAAAAAATTAAAGTAGAAATATTTTCATGAACTGATAAATTTTTGCTTAATTTTATTAGCTAATTTCTATATTATTGACATTAGATAAATGATTTCATGCACAGAAACACGGCAATCAGATTTATTGTCTTTTATACAATTTTTCATTTGCTTTGAGTCTTATCAATAAAATTTGATCTATTTAATCATGGTTAAATTGTCTGTTTTTTTTACTGGGGATGGGGGGATGGTGGTATGTAATGATTGTAGTAATCATATATCAGCATATAATGAGTTCTAATCTTCGAAAAAAAAACATTGAAAATCTATTAACAGGAAAACAGTAAGAGAAAAAAGCGGGGTAGTGGTTCAATAGTTAAGTCGTTCGACTTTTAGTCACTAAGTTGAACATTCAAGCATCATTTTATCTACTTTAGTCTGAGAAACTGGATTGTACCACTAGCCACAATCACACTTAAAGTGTGACTCGAAGATAAGTACACGAATCTGTACCTAGTAAATGAGTAAAGATAGTATGGTATAGTCCAAATCTTAACCAACCCTAATATAGATGAGAAATAATCAAGTAATCAGACATAATATAACACGACATAATGTTTAAAAGTATATGAACAAGCAGACAGAATAGCCATAAGTGAGTATATCAATTACATACTGCTTAAATAAGGTGAGAATTTAACGTAGACTAATATGAATTCATCGGTTTTTATTAGCTGCTGCTCAAAACCGTAAAACACAAGATTAAGTAATAAATATTAATGGCTGGAAAAATGAAGTAACAAAGATTATTAATACCATATATATGCAAGTGTAAAATCATATGAAGATAGATAAAGGAGACAATAATTATCTAGAATTTGAGAATGATCAAAAATATTCATAGCTAAATAGGTTGAAAATGCTGAAATTGTTATATTCGTCGAATTGGATGGCTTAACTATGACAGTTTCATACACTTTTTTGGACAGCAACAACAATAACATATATCTTAAAAGAAGAAGTTAGTTATTAGAAACTCTCCACAGCTAGTTAATAGTTTGCACTATTGATGTAAAAGTCTCAAATGACACATTTTAAACTAGAATCTGTCTTATGTAATACACAACACATTAATTAAAATTTCTGAACAGTGACACTTGAATCTGATAATTATGTTATTAAATGTGTATTAGTTTACTAAATACATAATGTATGTTTATATCCTCAATTAAGAATATTTTGATATTTATGCGTTGTTGTCCACTTGATCTAGTAATGCCAGTGTGTACATTTAGGTCTTTAGTAAAATATATTCATATATCTCTAGTTTAAACAACACTTTCAATGAGCTCCGGGAGCAAATCGATGAAAAAACAAAACGGTATCACCACACTATGGACAATAATAATAACAATTGTTTAGTGTATCATCAAGTATTAAACTGGTATGGTAAGTTAACATTCTATAACAGTAATAATAATAATAATAATAATAATAATAATAATAATAATAATAATAATAATAATAATAGTAACATAGACAGCAAACAAAAGTAAACTTTTAAACTTTGCTTCTGCGAAAATAATTCATTGACAACATACAAATGTGTGAGAAAATTAATAATAATGGCGATAAAACAAATGACAAAAGCAAGAAATTCTCAACAAAAAAAAAATTAACTCATTCTCCAGGTACTTGACTTTGAGCCACACTCGAATTGTAAGAACTAATGATACTATTCAGTTGACTAAGCTGTAGTAGATGAAGCGCGGCTCGAAAATGCGACTCATTGGCTGAAATTCAAACGGACTAATCACTTAATTACCTTTCCATAATTTATATCACGGACTGATTTTAAGCAACCAGTGAACAACAAGAAGCACGAAACAACTATTTCATCCTAGTGTAGGACTCCTCAGAGGTGAAGATTCACAATCCGAGAGGATCAAACTCACGATTTTCAGGTCTAGCAGTATGTTTTTAACCTTTCAACCACTAAGTTCGCTTCTAATAGTTTACATATCTAATTTCAAACAATTCACAATATTGTGCAAACAAATTTCATCAACGTTATTGATAGGTAACTGCTTCATACTCGACGAACTGAATTCCGCGGGTAACAGTTTTTCACAAGGACTCATGGAGTTATCTCGGTTAGACTATAATTTATGGACGACCTTTGAACGACGCTCCGGTGACCTTGAGAACGCCTACCTACTGATTGGGACTAAATGAGGGTTATAAAGCAGTGTGAAGAATGAGGATTATGATTTGCAGTTGATAGTAAGGGTTAGGATTTATTTATGGCTTTTATCACGAACTGACATCAGCTAAAATAACTCAATACCAATTAAAGTAACCAACACATAGAAGCTGACCTAATTAGCGAGCACATGATTGTTACTTAGTTGGTTATGTAGATTATCTTGATTCGAAGACTACTGTTGCATCATATGCTTTAAAAAACGTTGATTCACTAAAATGAATCCACAAAAATTCGAGACAGATAACAAGCTCATCTCCTAAACAAAAGCTTGTCATCACACGTTTCATGTAAATGATTCTCAGCTATGAGTAAAATAATCTGAAAATATCATTTACATCACTTTGATGTACAGAGGAAACAAATATTTCCATATAAAAACCCGAAGCGTAAAAAATACAAAAATTTCTACACCTTTAAGGAGTTACTGAACAGTTAAAAAATAAAAGTCGTTTTTTAAAGCCTTGAAACAAGTAATGAACTGGACTATAACTAGAAGTGGAGTCTAGGAGGAGTGTTTCATCCTGTCTGGTATTCAACTGCTGGGTATACCTGGATCCATGTGTTAATATTTACAGAGAATCGAACCTAGCGCTTACTGTTACAAAATCCATCGAGTTATCCACTAAGCTACCGAGTTCACATATTCTTTTGAGTCTACCGAAGCTCTGAACAAACAACTAAGTTATGTGTAAAAATTGGAAGTTCAAAACAATAGATTTTGTCTAGGATACGATACTATTAATACACAGAAATATGCAAGATATTATACAAACAAATTCATGAGGTGTCTACGGCGTTTAGCAGGTCAACATTTAGCGCAAATAGCACGATAAGAGATGAGACTAGTTTACAGACGAACCAATTACATAGCGAGTCTTAAACTTTTGCATGAAATTTGTTCATCCATACGGCTGACTGGCATTTAGGCATTATACCTGCTTCCAGTTCATGGGAGAAACCCTAACTATAAATCCCGATTTTGATTTCTCACAGTAATTTATAACCCTCTTTAGACTCTAGGTTTAATTTTCTCAGGGTCAATTTGGCGTCTTTTGAAAGTCGTTCATAACAACTAGCAGCTAAGTCAAAATGACAACACTGGGCAGTGATCGAAACGTAGACTAGGAATACAAATGATACCTGTTAAAATTAAATCGAGAATAAATGAGTCCACAAAAATTTCAAGTAACTGCTACAACTCCAAAGAGGTTCCAATTACATTAGTGAATAAACTGAACGTCGCAGGTTCATGTAAACGCTTAGCAAAAGAACATAATAAATTGGGCTTACATCAAAAATGCTCAAAATAACTGAAAGTGAAGTAAGTTACTTAATGTTGATAAGTAGTATATTGTTATATGCAAAAGGTAGTTAGTTCAGGAGGAAAAGGAGATCAGAAGTGCAAACAGAATTAGCGTAGACACTGAGTCGTTTACATCCATACTAATATCTCTTAAGTGAATAATGTATAAAAACTGTTCACAAAAAGTACAAACTTCCGGGTCTATTAATATGTAATCGATCAATATTTCCGAGGGAATAAAAAATAACACAATACTCTTAAACTGATTGGTAGCAAAGTGTAAAATATATTCGACTTTCGAACAATCAGTAGTAACCTGGGACCCGATTACTCAATTGAATTCAATTCGGCAAGCTAAATGGTAGTAGTATCAAGGTGTGGAGACGGACTATTAGGTACGATGTCACAGGTTCGAACCCCACCACGCTTACTTCCGTTTGGGTAACCGGTATCATTAGCTGCCTGGACTTAGAATGTGGCTTATACACAAGTATTTGGTGACTGAATTAACTTCGTAGTGCGAAAATCTCTTACAGAAAATATCCTACTCAAATCCTTGTACATTTTTACTCACCATCTATATTGTTCTGGAGCAGTTAAACGTGTATTTTGAAAGTAAAGTAATTCAAACTGAAAAGAAACACGGAAATAAAAAAACAGTAGTAATAATTTCAACAAAGGAATAATATGAACAAACAATCAGAATAACGCATATAAGCGAAGAATATCGTTTTCAATTAGACGTTACTCTAAAATACATTAATATTTATATGAAAATATTAAACCAATCAAGGCAATTTATGAGTCAATGATCACAATGAAACAGATTGCATAACTAACTACACATAATAGGTGAGAAAAACAAATTGATAGTAAGTGGGCATGTGTACTAGAAATAGTGATAAATATAATGAAATAACAAAAGTTCTGGTCAATAGTTCAGATGTGGATAAACAGACTTGGAAACAATAATCACAAAACATTGTCAAAATTACTCAATGAGAAGTGCGTAATTGACTATATACTGAAGAAGACAAGGACAGGAGTGTCACAAACTTATTCTGAACACATAAACTAGGGGTTATAGGTCCGAATCCCTATAGCTTCTGTTATAAGTAAGAGACGAAACCGAACCGTAAGGAGAAATGACGGTGTACAATTCAGTTTTATCTATTATATGCCCACTGTCAACCAGGTGTGCCAAGACAGAGCTACGTATTGTTTTTGACTGGCCATTTTGAAACCAAGTAATAGACAACAAGACCTAACATAAAAGTCTACTTACTAAACTTAACATACATAAACCACAGATTTAGAGAAAGAACAGTAGAAAAATACATCTATGTTACCGTGACTGATTTTGAGTTATGTTGTATAATCAAACAAGGATAGTGACCGAAAATAAGCAAAGACTATAACTATTGAATCAGTTACTTTACTTGGTGTTGTTATGCAGTGTAAGTAAACAAAATTTCATCCAATGAATAAAGATTGCATTGATCAGTGATCAAATGACGATACTTGAACAATAACAGTTAGTTCCATATAGATATTACCCCCAAATGCCCTGGTACGGCTGAGGGTGGGGGAATCCGCTCTCTCTCTCTCTCTCTCGAAATACCATCACATGGCTACTGCCAAAGAATTCCTACTCACAGTCTTCTCGTGGCCCGGGTGCTGTTTACGAAATTGAGAAGACGAAAAGCGAATGTCCGGTGCTTTATCTGGCTTAATGGATTTGGAGGATCCACCTACAGAAGTTGGGAAATCCTGACTCCTAACCAATGGCTCCAGGATCCTGAGGGAACAAATGGCGTATGAACCAATTATTGATCGCTGGCTGTCATGAGACTGCATCTCCTGACGTTGATTCACTGTCTTCTGAATCAGACCTGTAGGTCGAAGGCTCCGGGCGTGGACCCTCAAAAAAAATCACATGCATCACAGTCTGGGCACTCAGGCAATACCACAGCCCATACACAAATCAAGTGACTTGTGTGGCGCACTGAGCCGGCATCCAGTGGTGTTAATGTTTAACTTAAACTAATCCACAAAATTGAGCGACGCATCCATATCCATATTTAAATTTGTCCCTAGTTTATTCTACAAACCATAGGCTTTCGTTTGATGTGATTCACTGCCATATCTTTTTCTGTTCCAAAGCTATTATAATTTAAAAGCCAACTTTGGAACTGTTTTTTCTACCCTAATACCCAGTTTAGACGTAATTGTATTTTCCCAATTGTTTGTGAGTTGTGGCCGTGCTAGTCATCTATTTATTCACTAACCGGAAGAGGAAGTAAACCGTGTGGTGTTCCGGTTGGCTCATCTTCTCTCTCTCGCATGTCAACCAATCAGGTGGTAGAACAGTTTTCATCTCTTTACCCAAGGTATTTAATCTGCATTCCCAACTCACGCATTCTAGAAACAAGGTTAAACCCATTAGCCTATCGTTTCAAGGCCTTAACCTATATCGAAAAAAATTCTCTCCTGTATATTACTGGATAGAGAAATCGAGGACGTAGCACATCCATTATTAGCTAATATATATATATATATATCCTGGAGTTCTAGTGAGAAGCAGTGACCAGTGGAGTTCAAATGGGTCAGTTGTGAGATAGTAACTCACTGATGACAATCGTGGATGTGTTGCTCAATTTCGTGGATTGGTTGAAGCTAGACATTAACACCGTTGGATGCCGCCTTAGTGGTCTAGTGGTTAAGCGCTCACGCGCGAGACTGATAGGTTCTGGGTTCAAATATCGCGAGGCGGGTTCGTGGATGTGCACTGTTGAGAAGTCCCACAATAGGACGAAATGGCCGTCCAGTGCTTCCAGGTTTTTCATGGTGGTCTAGCTTCAATTGACTCATGATCTTAACTATTGAAATTACAACAATCTCCACAAAACCCCTTCTGATAAAATCTATCTATTGTAAAAGAACTTAAAATAAAATAGTTATATCAAGGCGATCCGCACAATATGAAAATATGTTAGCGCAGAATTATTCAAAATTAAGCGCTAAATATCAATAATGGGATAATTCAAAACCTTTATTAACTAGAACTTACATATTTCATTTACATAATATTAATAGTTTATAAATATATTGATACAATTTACTTACCAATGACTGATTAATTAAATATTCGAAGAAATAAACTGAAACTAGACAAAATAATGAACTGATCATTCCCTATATTGAATAGAAATTAATAATTAAAAAAAAACAGATAACAATGATATGATAATATCGGAATTAAATTTTAATTTATTTTCCCGTTGATCAAAGGACTATAATCAGTCAAGAAAATACAGATTTAGACAGAAAATTTTATCTGTTTCTTGTATATGTATATTTACATTTTCGAAAAAGATTACAATTTTCGGCTGTATACAAGGTTACTTGTTTTCAGTATAGTCCTGCTAAGACTATGTGTGCTACGCCATCGCGTTATCCATATAGTTACTGAGTTCAGACAACCACTGGATTGTGCAATAGAGAGGCATAGGTGCATCCATTCTTTATCTTCCCCAAATTCTGAGATTCAAAATTCCCCACAACTTTTTTTGTTTGTATTTCACTAGTTTATATTTTCTTCTCACGTCACACCGTCAATGCCTAATATTTCCTAATACCACTAATACTGTTACTACATCTGCTATTCACGGATTTGGTCTGACAACTTGATATCTATGTGCTAATAAGATATGGCAACTTGGACAGATGTACATACAAACAGGTTCCAAGTGTGTGACTGATATATAAATAATTTAACATCTCATATATATATGAGGTTAAATTATTTTTAGAAAACTTAGGCCGTTACAAAAATTATGAAAATGATTTTTTATATTTCTATGAACACAAACATTTTCAGCCAGCAATTAGAGAGCCAAAAAACACCCAGAAAATGATGAACACATTATTTCTTTGCTGACGATGAGCAGAAAAAGAAGAGAGGTGATCAGCTAATGAAATAACACTAAGGTATAAACGACAGATGAATAGGACTGGCATCCGTCAGATCATCATGACCACTTTAGTTGAAGTCCTAGGGATCGTGCAAGCTAGTGGCTTCAGACATTGTCATTACATAGATCAGAACAAAGTTCAGTGGAAATCCTATCATGGTTTGTTTGGCATTCTTCATGAAATTGAGACGTAGTCCCCTAACTGCAAGAAGGCTTCCTTGGCTGCATTGATGACTGAACTGCATTTCTTTTCAAACACTATTGTCATTCACCAATTTCTTCAGTCATACTAATCTATCTCCCTTTATTTTTTCTCAATGTTATCTTTTATTTTTATGTAGAGCAGATCATTTTTGCTGAAGAGTTGTATCAGAGTGTATGTATATTTAAAAAAATAAATACTAATGTCTAACTTCAATCGATCCATAATCATGTGCAACCCTTCATCCATTGTATGAAGTGGATAACTGCTTCACACACGACACGGATTGGACTCCACCGATCACGGGTTCTCATTAGAACTCCAGGAAACCCATTTTGAAGCTAGTAACTAATGTGCACATGATTATTATCAGTATGGCGATTTTTGGGGATTGTAGTATTTTTAGTCGAATTCACAAGTCGATCTAAGCTAGACCATCATTGAAAACCTGAAAGCAGAAGACGCCCGTTTTGTCCCAGTATGGGACTCCTCGGTAGTGCGCATCCACCCGACACGCTGGAGTCGAACTTCAGACCTTCGATCTCTCACGCAAACGCTTAAGCTGTAAACCATCAAGTCAGAATCCAACAGTGTTAATCAATCCATGACCCATGATCTTGCACTGCTGAGGAGTCCCATACTAAAACGAAACAGCGGTCTAGTGTTTTCAGGTTATCAATGGTGGTCTAACTTAGATCGACTTGTAAATTCAATTAAAAATACTACAATCCCCAAAAATCGCCATGCTGATAACAAATATTAGTCTGCATTTGTGATTCTTTAACCGACCAAATCTTTTATAGAATGATGAGTTGGAATCAGTTAGTTTGTATTGCTAAAGAATGATACAAATAATTTTTAATTGATAATACCTTTTATTACACTGTACTAGCAGAAGAAAACTTGAAAATAGTTTTTAATTGTCTTCGGTAAAATAAATAGGAACGAAACCTGAAGTTTAATATTTGGAATTAATAAACCTACATCACATCATACTACACCACGTACAGATTTATACACATAGCTACAAGTCTTATTCCAAATGTGAGGGACAGTGATAATAGCCGGTTTCTCAATCCGAGATAGGTGGGCGGAGTTTGAACCAATAACTACTACAATCCTTTATCATTAGACCGCATTTAAACTATACTCAAAGTGCTGTATAATTTTAACTACTTTCATCATGACAAACACTAGGTCTGACGGTGTTTTGTAAAGCGATACTCTACAAACCAAGTCTACACTAGCGCAATTGCGAATTTACATTGACCATGAACTACAAAAGCCGAAGTGATGATTATCCACTGCTATGATGGTAAGGTCATAAGTTGTTCAACAAACATTATGGCTTAGTATATCTTTTTCCTTATAAAATCACCATACTAAAATAAAAACTTAATGGTAACAACTTTCGAAGATAGTCTTCAATTCAAATAATTCAGTTCTACATAACCATGATAAACTGACACCCTGGAATGCTACCTTCGTCATAGACCAATATTACTAAGCGCCATCATAACGAAAACTAAATCATGGCAAAGAGAATATTCACAAACAATGAAGTTTCATTTACTACACCAATTCCTAATATTCTTTTTATTTGTCTTATTCAAACACAAGCGTTGGTACAAGGAGGCACCAAATACATATGCACCACATAAATCATTCGATTTTTGAAAAGGCTGGAATACTGTCCAGTGCCACTCTTCAAGCCTTTGACCTAGAGGTCTAATCCACAAGGCAGTGCAACAACGAAAGGAGGTGCAGTCCTATGGTAGCCGGTGACTAACAACCGGTTCATATGCCATTTGTTCTCTCAGGATCCTGAATCCCACATGCACCACTGGCTTGGAATTAGGGTTTTCCAACTCCCCTAGGTGGATCCTCCATATCCACCAATCCTGTTAAAGCACCGGACATTCACTTTTCGCCTTCTCAAGTTCGTAAACAAAAGTAATGCCGTGAGAAGGCAGTGAGTAGGACTTCCATGGCAGTGGCTGTATACGCGTGGCCATGTAAGAGCTGACTCTCCCCACCCTCGGCCGTACCAGGGCATTTGAGAGCAATTCCTATTCGAGATGACTGTTACAAATACATCTATATCAAAAACACATTAGAAAAAAACGCACCTTCAACAGCTGTAGTTTTATTTTCCATGTAGGCTGTTGTTGATGTAGAACAGGTAGAGATGAATAGTTGGAAACTTGTGAATTGTCATGATAAACCATATCATCTTCATTTCTCAGCTGAATATACCCATCGGAATCAGTTATTACATCATTGTCATCATCAATCTCAGCTAAATCGTCATTATGACATACATTTGTAGGAAGAGAAAGAAACTACGTATATTAAATGGATAATACAAGTGTTTGCTATTAAACAAAATATGAAAAATATTCCTTGCACAAAGTAAAGTCACTGAATAATTAAGATGTATTCCAGTAATTTCCAAAAAATATGAAATCCAAGAAATATACTTCATGTTGTTTAATGTTCATCAGTAAGAAGTACGCTAAATATATAGTTTCTGTACGCTGTACCTACTGGCATTATGTAAATCCTGAAATGCACACGTTTTATTGATACACATCTAACTACTTTTTCTTAACGAGTAGTTAAGATAAAATATAAATACTTTTGGAACTTACTGTGCTCTGGCTCTTCACTGGTTACCAATGCATTTATCCTCTCTGTTGACATCGTGGAATTGTCCGATGAAACGATAGGGTTGAAACACAGTCGAAATTTTTCATGATGAGGTCTGTCTAGAACGAAGAAATACCTAAGGGAGAATTGTTCGTAAGTATATATTAGTTGTTTGTAATTATTACTATACTTATTATAATCATTTATAAAATGGCTATCAGAATGTTCTCCGTATTGATAATGTATCCTTAGAACTAAAACTGTTGCAAATTATTAATCTTCCTGTCATATGTTTTTAAGTAAACAGTGGGATGTAGTGATATTGCATGATTACGGTATATTCTCACTGCATGTGATTTTACTATTCTCTTAAAAAAAGAATCCAAATTGTACTCCAGGATTTTATTTCGGATGTAGTGTACATCACTACCAAATCAACTATCTCAATGATCAACATCATACTGTCTAATCGATAAATGTAGAACCATGTGAAATAAAAAGACCATTGTGCTGATTATCAATAATAATAAATGGCAGACATAGATTGGTGCAGAATAGCATGAATTCATTTTATTTCGTTAGGTTTTCATTAGTTGCTTACAACTTATGATATTTGAAGTCGAAGTTATTACAGGTAGTGACATAAATATAAATACGAAGGTAATTAGAGATGAATATGTGTATCATGACGTTGCGAAGATTCTAATAGAGTAAATAAGGTCATAGTTAATTTTCTTGTTCCAAAGTGTGAGAGGTAAAGTTCCAGAACATCGAACTAGTAATTAGAAATCATAGAGTTAAAAAACACTAGACGGTTGTGTAATGAAGTAACTAGAAACAGATTAATAGTAATAAAGAAGGATATGAATTAAAGAAAAATGATAATGAAGTAATCAAACTTTAGAAAGAGTTGATATAATGAATGATGCAGTAAAAAAATGTGATGTTACCAGGACAAAGAAAGATTTATTACTTCTTCGTTTTGTATACATACATCCGGTTTTAAACTTTCGATCACTATCACCTAGGCGAATTTCAGAAGATTATAACTCGACTGTTTATTTCTCACCTTGAAGGATTTCAGTGTACCCACTTGATATCCTATATCGAGATGTCTTGAGATGATACTGTTGAATGCTTTTAATCCACTTAACCTCAAACTTTTTAAAATATGTTCTTTGAATCGGACGTAGGCTCCCCGTTCTGTCCTACCAATATAACTGATTCGGAAGATACATGTTAATCTGTATACACAGTTAATGGTAACATGTAAGGGATACCTATTGATCTTTGTGTTAAAGAACATGTTATTTTGGACAAGAAAACCAGTTAAGCTGCAAGGTAAGCTCCTGTCAATACGGTTTTTAGTCTTTTGTTGATTGACCCTGTCACATCACTTTTGAATTTAATTTGATTTTAAAATATTATAGGTTGCAAACAGCTGACCAGAACTTAACAAAAATGGATTTATATTATTTTGCGCCAATCTTTGTTTTTGCTTTCTTTAACAATAAATTTCTTAGTTCCAGTAGTTATATCTAACAGATGTTAGGTAGTTGGCGGCAACCAGATATAATTTATCATAATTCAAAATGGGAACTAAAAACGCATTGAGATGGTTGATGATTTCTCAATAGAAAAGGACACTAAATCCGGTTGCTGACCTCATTAAAGTTTAAATCCATGAACTGACTATTTTGGTTACATTGCATCTATACAATCAAATGACAGACGACTACTTTTTGATATAAAAAGAGAAACAAATAAGATAGATATCTTATAATAATATCATATATGTTTGACTTTAAACTAAATGTACGCAGATAATAAATCGAATGTGACGTAACAGACAAAAAACAAAGTAATTTAGTACCTAATAATAGTATTTACGCTTTATATTCTGTGTATGCGTAGTAATCAATTATTTAACTTGATGACCAACAACAACTTTATATACTGCTTCCGGCTAAATTTAATGTATGAAGGCGAGATATGTGATAGTGTGGTGTGAGCCTCTTATATGAACAGATACAAATAGTATATAGTGGAATGCTTACCAGCAAAAGATTGAAATAAAGAGAAGGAAGACAGAGAGCAATCGGAATAGCGACAGAATTAGAAGAATGATGGAGTATGTAAAGGGCAATTGAAGGAAGGTGTGCAAATGATGTACTCAATGTACGATTTTTATATTTTACAAAGGCAATGTGTGATTTTCATGAAATAATAAACTGGTTTGCAGTACCACAGTTTTCACTCACTACATTAGCAGCAAAACTCAATAACTTCAAAGAAAGTCAGAAACGTTTATACAACGATTAAAGGAGAGAAAAGCATCAAAAAACCGTTTTATTATGCATATACCTTGAAATTTGCAACTTATTTATCAGGTACAAATCTTTGTAATTGGTTTAGAGTCGTACTAGAAATGTGTTAAGGGCAAACGATACTACCCGGTTGTCCAAATCAAAGTAGATAGAACGGGACTCTAATCAGTGGTTTAGAGGCCGAAAATTGGACACTTCAACCATTAAATAATAACTGTATTGGATGTATTTTATTAACATTTTTATTATTTCTACTGGACTAATTAGATAGCGTTTTATAAAGGAATAGAAAGGAAGTTCGCCTTTTATTACCTCAGTAATACACGGATTTTAACAGAAAGAAAGTGATATGAAAAGCCCTTCCAAACTACTGTTAGAAAAGTTTCAAATTATCTAGTTTTGGATTGCTTTTGTTAATAAATGGTAGTTCTAACAAATAAAGAAGTTTTCGATAGACTTTTTTCAGCACATATTATTATCTATCTGGTCACTTTCGTTTTTGATCTACTATTTTTGTTCCGCATCCCAAGGTCATAGTTGTTGCTGTGTATAAGAATTATTGTACCGTGATGTTGACTTTTTGAATATCAAGCTTTTCCTGAATTCCTATTTTAAGAAATCAAACACACAGTAGATTATGATTATCAGTGTTTCAAGAAAGCTCCCTAGAAGTACATGTAAATCCCAGTTGCATGAACAGACATTTTTCGATCGTTTGTAATTCAGAAAAGTTGTGAGTTATCTTAATATAAAACAATCATATAACAACTTACACTAACAATGTAGTACATGGAACCACAATGACAATACATAATGTAATTTCCGGTGTAGTTATTGATGTCAAACTAACATAATAAAGTGAACCGATCAGACCGGCTGCACCAGTTCCACATGCCCAAGCCGAAATACAAGATCTAGAGAAAAATTCGTCCACCCCACCCCCAAACAAAAAATCGTCAATTATTTTAAATCACGTACTGATGGAATTATAAAATAGTAATGTATTTTGTATATGAGATCAAAGAGCAAGTTGAATACGCAAGTAATCAACAAACACAAAATAATTGATTAAGTGACTAATGAGACAAAGACGTATAGAATTCCTAGAGTAGATAAAACCCTATGTGTTTGTAATACGATCATTAAGCTAAGTGATTACTCCCGTTTTTATGAAGGATGGTTTTGTGACTCCACGTAAAAGATGTTTAAAAATTGTTAAATGAATGAAAAGAATTCTGATAGACAGAAGAAATGTAATAGTATGATAACAGATCGCAATACTGGATTATTATTGCAAATCCCAGGCACGAGCTGACATTAAAGACAATATTATTAGCCAAAAAATAGGTGTTTTTACTCAATAAGATAACTTACTTACACGCAAACTGTTGACAAAAAGATGAACGTGATTAGATATCATAGAAGAATGAACGAAATCAGTTTTATAGGTCACGTAATCCTCAATGACTTATGATCTGAACATTAGACCAAACTTTTTGTCACCACATCAACATTACAGTAAATTATGACTTATCTCAGAAACTTAGACGTAGTCTAAAACGAGTGGATTTTACAAGTCAACTGTAACAGTTAATCTAACCTACGCCAATGGTTTACATTATGATGTTAATTGACTGAAGGTAACCAGTAAGAAACTCTAGAACTAGGTTCCGTGATGGTTGAGGCTCATCAACAAGGTTTGCCTGGAACCTCGAGGGAACAGATGATTTTTTTCCAAATACGAATACACGTCACCCATCTTCACGGTTTGAGATGATGCCAGTGAGCTACTCCAGCCTCGAGTAACTTTTTACAAGAGGTGTAGGTAATGTCTAACTACAGGCATCAAAAGCAAAATATGTTACCAACTGGATTTCATTATTCAGATGGCATGTATGGAGTGGACTACGAAAAACTATCGCATTTTGACAAATATTAGAAATCCGTAAGTTTTTAAACGTGGAATGGCCGATGGACCTTGATAGACAATAATCTCAATGAAGCGTAAAACGAAACAATTTGATTCAGTTTAAAATTTGTCATTTCTAGCACAAAGGGTAATAAGACTGAGGAAATACCACTCGGATGATAATTACACAACATGCGTGACATGATTTTGACTCAACTTCAACAAGATTTGCACTTGCTAACAAGACCAGGGAAACAAAGCCCTCAAATGCCCTGGTACGGGGCCAAGAGTAAGGAGAGTCAGCCCTCTCTCTCTCTCTCGAAGTGCTATCACATGCCCACGTGTATACAACCACTGACATGGAAGTCCTACTCACTGCCTTCTCACGGAATTACTGTTGTTTACGAACTTGAGAAAGCGAAAAGCGAATGTCCGCTGCTCTATCGGAGTTGGTGGATATGGAGGATCCACCTAGGGGAGTTGGAAAACCCTAATTCCAAGCCAGTGGTGCACGCGGGCTTCAGGATCCTGAGAGAACAAATGGCGCATGAACCAATCATTGGTCGCCGGCTACATTGAGACTGCATTTCCCACCGTTGCTCCACCACCTTATAGATTAGACCTCCAGGTCAAAGACTTGAGGAGTGGTCCCTAAGGGAACCATGTGCTTCGGTTTGGGCACCTAGATAGTATCCCAGCCCTTAAACAAATCGAATGATTTATGTGGCGCATATGTATTCGGTACCCCGTTGTACAAATGTGTACGTGTTTAATTAAAATAAAAAATAAGGTAAATATGGAATATAAATACATAACCCAAAGCCCTCCGAAGCTAATATCTGTCCTAAGCTCGAATAAACAAGGGCTGAGAGAAGAGTTTACGATCCAACCTCGTAAAAAGAAACCCACTAAGAAGTCGTTAGTCAAAGAAAATCGATTAGATACAACGTCGAAAGCTGATTAGCATACTTGTCAAAGAAAGCTACCATGCTTAAGAAAGTAACATCTCCGATTCCTGAAGATAAACTTGCCGACACAATCCCTAAAAATATTTTTTCAGAAAGAAAGGAATCAATTAACAATGAGTTAAGATCATAAAAAAGAAATATGACAGTTTTTAGTCGGTTTAATTAGTTATTAATAATCTATTTCACTCATCATTATTACAGAATACACCACGATTCACACTCACTATTTGCATATGTGAATAGAATACCAAACATGTTCATTATCTTCAATCTCATAAAAATCGTATTCACCATAAGATACATTTTATACAGTATAAGCAGATGACACATTTTCAGAAAGGGGTTTACGGATATTGTACATAATATATTGTACTAACATATGAAATAATATAGCACATAAATTTTGTCTTGGATGCCACTGCTAGTTACTACCAAACTTAAAAAACACTAGTGATTAGACGGAAAAATTGGGGCGACTTGCTCAGGATGCACGGAGATCGATCCGCTGCAATTCATAGCATCAACAACCCTTGGAAACAGAACAATTTCAGTCTGCCTTTGTTCCTTAATATTATAATGTTTCAAAACTTTTATGATACATCCAACAATTAACATAAATACTTTCTTCATTGATATTATTCAGTTGATCGATAAGAAAATACTATTATTAGTAGTTTCAGCCAGTAAGTTATGATTAAAGTAGGGCTAATAAAATCATACTGTTACGAATTATGTTCCCTACATGATCTTTTGTTCAGATCCCAAGTTCGAAAGAAACAAACATTAAACTGATCACATTAAGCCGAAAATGCTTACCAAAAACACTCGTAGAGAAAGACTGAGAAAATGAAACCATCAGAAAACTATTAATCGCCAGTAGGACAGCGCATAAAATTTTGAAGCTAAAAAAAGAGATCGGCAGGCTGTTAAGAGCAAATATCCCCCAACAAGCAACTTACGTAGGAAGTATCTAACTTATTATAAAATGAAAAACCAAGCAATTTCAAAATGATTTGCTAAACTTAAATATAATTTTTAGATTGAAACTAGACATGACAGAAATTTAATGCGAATATTATAACTGTCAAAAGCTCACAGCTACCGGATGCTGAAACATAATATTTTATCGTACATCAACTGTAATAGTTAATACAATCTCAGCAGATACTACAATGGCTTTCACTAAGATTTTAACTGATTAAAAGTAGTCGGTAAGAAACTCTAGATAGTGATAGCTGGAGCTTGTCAACAAGGTTTGTTTGCAACCTTAAGGGTATTGATGCTCTCCGTTGGATTCGGATCGGTGTCACCCAACTTCATAATATGAGAGGTTACTGATGAGCTATTCCTGCCATAACTGATCTCTTTCATGAGGTGCAGGTGATCTCATGTCGCTCAGACTAGTGAACGCAACTTGACTGGACAAATATAATGATTGTGACTGCCCAATGATCACCGTAGATTATGGATTACTTTACATGTCCAAGGAAACTGGATTATAAGTCAAGGCTAAACTGCTTTAAAGAAAGGACTTACTGGAAATGAAGTTTTTGTATGAATATTGGAGAAATAAACTTGAAAATCATACTCGGAAGTATATCTGCCAACAGGACACTCTATAAGAAAGAGTTAAAAACAACAAAAACATACTCCCGTCCCAATCTTTGTACAGTTTATGTGATATGTACTGATGTTCGTAGTGAATTCAATCTGTGACTATGAAATGAAAGGATAAAAAATAGGAAGTTGATTCGAAAACAGTTAACAAGTATTATTTGCGATTGGTTAAGAAAATCCAATACATAGTTTATATATCTTACTGTAACTACATGAAAAAAAATCGTAACTGAGTAGTTAATTTAAGCGTAAATGAGAAATTTTACGTTATACTGCTGGAAAAATCCGCTAACACTAAAAGGATTAACTACTTTGCAAACTCAGTATAAAGATAATCTGGAAAGACGGACTGACTTGTTTCCTAATTGACTAGGCTTTGTCAATGATTGAAAGTAGATCCCGTGGAATATATATTTTGAGCCAGTGTTATTCGTGTCCTCGAATTAGTTGGGTTAAACTGAATGACTCGAGTTAGAGTAATTGAAAAGAAATAATTTCGCTAATAATCAATTCTTTATATGGAATAGTTTAAGCTAAATTTCTTGCCAGTTCGGGCTTAAGGGTGTGGAAAGGATCAAAGGCGTAATAGTCCCAGGTTTGAAACCCACTCAATCAATTTCATTTTAAGCTACTGGATAGGATCACTAAACCTCATGCGCAAATAAAGGCATAAACGTTTACGCTAAAAAAAGAGAGGGATACAAACTTTATCATCCTCAACTAAGCCAAAATCTAGCTAAGGAGGTAGTGCAACGGATTTATATACTCGGCTTTGTAACATAATTATTAGTTTGTGAGGGATTACAATACTAAATTAGATGGGAGAGGTTGAACACAATCTAATTATCGGAGCATTCTAGCAAATAAAGTACTTCCAACAATGGCTACACTGAGACAACGATTCATACTTTCGGGAAAAACCATCTTACATCTTGTTTTCGTATAATATCCACAGCTGCACTTAGCATAATAACATATGAGAAATTATTACCCAAACCGAAACACCTGTGACGGATTTCCACAAAGTTTTATTTAAACGATATATTGATTACCAAAAAGCTAAGTAATTCCGAAGTTTCCAATGATTGCAACGGTGACGACATCTGCAACACTCTGAAAATTTATTTTAAATACCGTCACATATCATATCGGCAACTACCACTCGACATCTCGGAATAGATATATTACTTATCAGAGAGAAGTGGATGCACAAATCACACTAAATATTGGAGACAAGTGGATCGATTCATGAATAGAAAAGACAAATTACCCCTAAAACGTGTGAAATTAGGTAGGAACAATCTTTAAATAACAATTAACAGTTTGGTGGTTAATATCAGATGCGTATAGGGGAATAAGTCATCGGAGTGGAGGCATCAAACTGAACTCATTAAGACTTGTGTCAATGAAACACGAAGTCGACGCGGATGTCCAGCGTACGACCTTGAGCAGGTTTCAAGTCACCCTGTACATTTTAAACCAGTGCAATATCCAATAACATTATCACGTGTTTGCATAACCCGATCGTTTTCTTTGTGCTTGCCTCTTATTGTCCAATGGGTTGTGATATAGCTATTTCACTACACTTATTTGAGTCGATTTGGTAGTTATTCTAAGATTTGTATATCTTATGATTTGAACGAGTGCGTCTATCTCAACGGTAGAGATGCCGGATATCAGCAGCTATCATATTATCAGACAATGGGTTGACTGGTTGCGATGTAGAAAGTTATGAAGCTTGTTCGAATGCCAAAAGTGGACGATTGTTCCAAGAAATAAATACATTAGTCAAACAACTGGTAGTGTGTGGGGAGACGGAATTGAAAGAGGGAGAAGGGGAAAGGAAGCTACAAACAAAGGGGTAAGAAGTAGTTATTGATGTACGGTTATGATAATCAAGGTAATTTATTGTACATACACGAGACAATTGGTTCAAGAAGGTGATAGTAATCCATGTGGTTATGTGTTTGTCATGTCATCTCTTAATGCTACCCACTAATAGCGCTGTGGTCACTGTGGCTGGGAAGACATTCCAAACAGAGTAACTCTTATTGAAACAAACTGAAAGCATGTCTGGGTGTTTGCTCTTTGATGTGCAATCTTCCGAGGGTTGCGTCGAGGAGTGTGGTGATTAAGTTCTGGTCATAGGCTCATTTTGAAGTAACTTGGCGTCATCAATATGTTGTATGTGACCATCAGGTCACCTCTTATTGTCCTGTAGCTCAACGACAATGATGCCTATTGTTGAAGTCTGTCCTTCGAAGGTCTATGTTTCGAACATATAAATCAGTTTGCTGCCCGTCTCTACACTTGATCTGAAGAGATTTATGTCTTTCGGAGAGGGCACAACGACATTTTGAACTTCAAGATGTGGATCGTGTGTACGTTTTAATTTGTGTTAAGAACAATTTTGAGATGATTCAGCCAAGTTTTTTCCGCATAAAATGGAGACTTGCGTTCCCCTTGGTTATACCTTCAGTGTCTAATCTTGTCGTGGTTACAAATCTGAGACAATGGGGACCGAATTTCCCGAAGGATGCTAGTGCTTTGTGTCATGTTTATGACATGACATTTCGACAGGTTAGGTTTTAACCCATTGTCTAATGCCCATTCTTCTATTGTTGTATAGTACTTTTGAAGCTCAAGTGAATAATTTTAGTCTCTTATGGAAATTCAGACCCCTGTATCAACTCCATAGATCAATGCCTCCTAGCTAACTTTATCTAACAGGTCGTTGATAGAGACCAAAAACAGGAGTGGACCTAAGGTTATGTGATAATTAGAAATATGCGAACTGATGCGCTAGCTAAGAATTCGCGAAATAGGGCAGTTTAAGGCAGGTACAATAGATGGGCACAAATGAACATATTATATTCGGAATTCAGAATCGGCGGGCAATCAAGTATAGAAATATTATTAGTTCGTTGTTCCTTGCGAAACTCCTGATGTTGACACCTTTGGACTTGCATGTACTCTATCTAACTTGATACAAAACATACTGTTCTCTAGGTATTTTTGGAGTCAAGACAAATGTCGGTAGGTGAAACCCTTGGTCATGAGAAATGGAAGAGGCATTGTGCCAAAGGCTTTCTACGAAATCGAGAGACATCACACGGACCGCTATGTTACGTTAGCAGCAGGTCGTCAAGTTTTCACATACTGTGGGTAGATTGGACTTACAAGATCTACTTTTCCTGAACCCGTGTTGGGTTACGTGCAGGTTGTTGTTTTTACCCAAGTATTCCTCCATTTGTTCATTGGCCAGTCTTTGATCAGTTATGCTGACGAAAAACGTATCACATTCAACATCCAATCTTTGTGATCACTTGCATGAACCGATTGATTTCTTTGATCACGTCCATGTAAGTTCGGGCTTGGCATCCCTCAGAGGAAACTTTCCGTTCTGCCTGTCACAGGTTTTCCGTGCCTCACCTAAGTCACGACGTTATCACTCTAGGTGTTTCCGGTTGGATGAATGCTGCATAAGATAGCGTTCAGAAGAATATAAGTCACCAACTTCCAGTAGTTACTCACCCTCGTAGCCATGGGGTGTGTTGAAGTTGCTCCCCAATGGCCATGTAGTTTACCGTAGTGTAGCGAAGGTAAAGAACATCCTTACTATCTTGAAGAACCTCAGTTGTGACCACGTTGGATATGTTTGTGCAGCTGTCATTGCTTCCCATTTGTGTTTGGATATGAACCACTTCGACTAGAAGCTGGTCATTTAACAGAAGGTAGATCGGCAAACAGACGTATTACAAATTGTGGTGTTTGAATGAACTAATGATACCTTGGTATTGGTTGAATGCTTGATTTCGAATTCTAAATACAATACATTCGTTTGTGCCTGTGTCTTCTTAATTCAATTGCGTTAATCCTGGAATTCCTAGTTCATACGATAATTCGAATACCATACTTATGTCTTATGGGTTACTGACCAGGTTAAAATCCTGTCAAAGCTTGAATTATCACTGACGTCAGCTTCTCTTATAATTCTTACACACGTGACTCCTTGGCTGTTACGCTGAATCTCAACCTACCGCACTTTTGCTGTACCTATAGAGTACACTGTATATTTTTCAATGAGATTTTGCAAATACATATCACACAAATAGCTATAAATATCCACCTAAATACGCGGATTTTCTCCACATTTGCTTCACAAATAATTTCCACTTTACGCTTCCCGGAGGTTTGTACACTAACAGTCCAATCTACTTTTTTCATGAGTAGCATCGCAGGCATGCTTTTATGTAGACCAAGGTTACCGAGGATTATGTGATAAGAAATATACAAACCACGACAAAATTATCTGGTAGTTAAGGTTGACTGTACTAAAAGCACCCTGACTGTTACATAACAACTTTGAACCACAGCGTACCTTTAGAAGAAAATGGAGTAATTCATCGTTGCTGCAAAAGCAAGGTACGAATTATTGTCAAAATAACTGAAGGGGGAAAATGACACCTGAATATCTACTATTTGTTCCTTACCGAAAAATTCCTGTTTTTCATCTCTCAGTTCCAGACATTTTGCATAAATACACATGAAGTTAATCTAGGAATGATTTTTTGTGCTAACATATAAATATCGATAACGTGCATCTATATAATCTAGGCTGTGGCTGACATTGATATCTTTGCCCATCCCGTCTTTCAACATAACAAACACTTGTTCACACGTCGATTCACTATTCCAAATCATGGACGCAGGTTGCGGCGTTGTTCACATGACGAGTGCGAAGTATTTTTCTGGTCTTTTCCGCATTCCTGTTGAGTTAACTGAGCAACAAGGTCAATAACAACATGAAAGTTCGGGTATTAGTTCCAAACATCGCGCTTAATCTGGTCCTTTTTCGATTTACACAATTTTTCACATCTGGTTTTCATACGTCAAATCCGAATTCCGAAGACAATTCAGGCGATTTTCACTATATCAGAAGGTGATTTACCATCTTTTTGATACGTCATAATATGTATGTATTTTCATCTAGTGTAGCCATACATATTGTTGCGTACAACCAACACTCTCAAACCCGTTTTGATATAAGACCCTGAATAACTCCATACGACAACATACTAACGTGGGTGTGTTGGTTCTGAGCGAAGCCTATAAGATTCAATATTAGTTTTCGTTATGACTATCGCCGTTACACATCTATAAATATTAATAAGCCAAATACAGTAACCTCCTATGAAGTCCATATAGCTTCCGTCAGGCTCTAAACTGTAGTTTCACAAGTAATGTCTCGGATTTTTAATTTATTGACATGTACTACTAATTTTTATACACCTCATCAAGTCACACATTAAATTAGTTTACACATATATCATATTACACTATCACTATGCCATTCGAGTTCGACTGTTATTTGAACCGCTCTAATATTCTCCGCTAAACCCACGACATCCCTTTCAGATGTGTTTGGGTTTGTGAGTTCGGCCATCATATCAGTTGTCTAGGAAAACGACTCATCTATTTAAGAACATAGGTGAAAACAAAGCCACTCCATTAAGATATTAAAGCACTAGACAAATGTATTAATGATGTAGTTGCTTTTAATACAAGTGCTCAACACGTTTAAATCTGGCATTAGGTTAAGGAATATTTCCATGCCATAATTTGTAATAAAACAAGGCAACTCGGATTAGCTAAAATTACACAAACCCTCCCGAATTTCTAACACTTGAAAATCATTCAGTGTGCACATATTTTAAACCACTAAAAGTACTGAGCATCTAAAACTACTTTACCTATTTCCTACTAGATAATACGAGAACAATACTATAATTATTTATTCATAAATATTTATAGATATTTTCACAAATCATTTTCACGACTTGACATTCACATAGCATGACTGATAAACTTGGTGAAACGTTGGATACAAACTGTGTCAAGAAACTAGCTGATAATTACGATTAAACGGCGTTATCTTCTTGTGGCTATCTTTATCTAAAAAAGGCTATGGTATATTTTGCTATCAGTCACTCATTCAGCAAACATATTGGGACCTCTTCAATTTATTTGGTGATCTAGTGATAGAATCATTAGTGTAGATTATCGGTGTAAAGAGTCAAGAGAATCTTCCGCAAACTGAAAATATTGCTGTCAAATTTACCCCAACAGAAAAGGGAGTTCGCGCCATTATCATATCAATAAGTCGGGAGTTGAGCATCCCTTGGATACAACCTATACTCTCCCTGATAATTACATGAGCAGCAATTACCGTTTGTCATCTCGTAAAGATTTATTGATTTAAAAGCATCGTACAACACAACGTAATCTACTTCTGTGGTACATAAGCTTAGTTTCTTTCAAAACCTCCTAATCATTCTATTTCGAATAAGTCGATTTCTGCCCTGTGACAAACTGTATACTTGCAACTAACTTTTATGCATCATCAAACGGTAATATTTAATATGAATAATTGGCTTATTGCACATTATAATATTGAGTCTAAAGCACATCTCTGAAGGACACATTCATGTCCAAAAAATTACCGCCAGTTATTTGTCCAAAATCTAAATAATAATCAGTACTTTCACGTATTAAAATAATTTTTCATAAGAGTTCCTATGTATTGGTAATGTTAATGAATCCTATGACGGTTAAGCAATAACGAACAAAATAAATCGTATAACCATATTGTGACCCTGTCTTTTGTGGAACTTGTAGTTCATGTTTGGAATCTATAGCCAGCGAGAATATCCAACGAAAACATGAAAG